GCAGGTGGTCTGCTCCGCTCCCCTCGGCATGGCTCGGCCGCTACCCACGCCACTCCTGGGACGATCCTTTTTTTGGGAAGGGGAAAGCAGGTTGCCCTCCTGCCCCGGCCGGTTGCGGTGGGTTTCCCTGCGTGTGCGTGTGGGGGACTCCTCAGGCAAGCCCCGGCCCACCTAGGTCTTTAGTAGTACCCGCTCTCACTCCCCGGCCTCCCTGTTCAACAGCGTGAATTTTGGGAAACAGAGGTGGAAGTGTTGGCTACAAATAACTAGGTGGTTGAGAACAATGTGGAGAAGGCATTGAGTACTGGCTCAAAGTTTTCCGGTTAAAATGCAGCAGTTGAGATAAATTCACAGCAGAACAAGTGGCTGGAAAAAAACACATTTAGAAAGAGTCTGAATGGCAGTCTGTCTTGGTCTTTTGGCAGCGAACACCTCACCTGGACAGGGTGTACATTGTCCACTGGCTGGGGTCTTAAATTGGACTGATTGTAAAACATTCTTTGGTATCACTAGCGGTTATTTGGTGTGAAGCAAAAATTAAAGTATGAGTGTTTATGAAAGTTATTATAAAAGAGGTTATGACCACCACTTGCACTAATCATTTTTGCTTAAAAAACCTGTGAATTGCTATTAATAGATACTGGAACCTGAAAAAAATGATAGTGTGTAGATAAAGAAGAAACCTGTCAAATTTATCTATTACAGGGAAGACTTTCCTCTGGATTTCTGTTTCTTTTCTTGGACAGTCTCCTGTAAGCATAAATCCTAAGCCCATTGCTAGGGAAGTGTTTTCAAATTTCCATTTAACCAATGTATTGCTAACTACAGTACAAACCATTTGCCATCAAGCAGTCAGTGAGCCAGTGTTACTCCATTTTTTTTAATATCCAAGTCCTCCATTCTGTGTATTACATTGTAGGCTCTCATATTTTAAGATAAAGAAATAAAGAAGCCTGAGCTGACTAATTCAGAATGCTGGGACAGACTCTCAACTAGGATAAAATGAAGTTTCTTTCTTAATTTACCCCATCAGAAGGACCCGGTCTTGAAGCATTACTTATTTTGTATCTATTACCAAAGTAATCTCTACTAGGAGAAAAGTCTGGTCTGTAGTTCTTTCACTCCTCAAACTCCAGCTGAAGTTTCTAGTTTAAGCATCCAAAATTTCTGTTGCACGATCAGTACTAAATGCGTAGTTGGCTGCATAGAGGCAAAACTCCCCTGAAGTCCACTACAGAGTGCAGAGAATTGGGTCCATAATTAGACACAGCAGACAAGATCAATAAAAGTTCAAAAGCAAACATATCATTAGTAAATAGATTTGTTTTTATTCTGATAAGAGCAACTAAAATTACAAATTAAATTGCTTGTTCGGGTCCTGCAAGAGAGATTAATATGAAACTGAATATAGACTAGCGTAGCAATAAAATAAGTTCTATGTATCTGCCAGTGATTAGTTTGCTTAGAAAAGAAGTAGGATTAAGTCAATAGTTTAAAAATGGTTTTACAGACCACCACCAACCATCAGAACTTAGTACGGACAGTAGCACACCTTTTTCATTGACCTTTTAACTGACAGAAATTAAGTATTATTTGCTATGGGTCTGTGAATGGCCATGACCATGACCATGATCATCTGCCATGACCCTGTGGACTATCAGTGAGCCACAGACTAAATTTGGGAGTCGCTAGAAGCAGCAAAGTGATAAAAACTTCTGCATTTGTACCAAAACACCTACATCTGGGAGTAAAACTAACAGTATGACTTAGAGGAACTGCAATTTGGATGTAGAGCTACCATGATGTGTATCAGTGGTAGCCCATCAGTATTTGACGTTGGCAATTGCCTCCTGCCTTTTGCCGTAATGGCAAATTCATGAAACTCGACGTTTGTTCCTTCGGTTGCTCCTCTGTTGGTTCATTTGTTGACATGGGATTACAGGTCTTCCAGCATCTGCTTCTGGTCACAGTCATGAGTGGAGGGTTCCACCCTGCAAACATCCTGCCTCTCTGGCTTGGTCTGCATGTAACTCCACAAATTCAAAATTAAGCAGATGTGTAACAGCCTGGTTGAAAAAGTAGTTATATAAAGTAAAACAAAACAGGAGAGAAGTGACAAAACACAAACTAGTAAAATTCAGGTTTTCTATACCCTCACGAAGGATGTCATTTACAGAGAGGTAAAATGTCAATAAGAAAAGAGGAATTACATTATTAGTTAAAATAACATTGCATTTTAAAAGCAATTTTTAAAATAGTTTCCCATCAGTATATATATTACTGATATCTACAGGTATATTACTGATATCTACAGGTACGTTTAGGGCTGGCATGGCACAGATGATAATGTTACATATTTCGTATATAATATAGGTGGTGATACCTAAATTTTTTTTAAGAAATAATTTAATATCTGAATGCAATAATTTAAAGCAGAAGTTAGCTAGGCAAGTGGACATCAAGTAAGCTGAATTTGTCTTTGGGTAGGATTAAGTTATTCAGCGCTAGTTCTCTTTCACTGATAATTTTTTTTCTGTGATGTTTTCATATTAGTATTGTGAGGGTAAACACTGCTGGTGACAAGTGCATCTCTTTTACAGTGAAACTATATTTTCAGTTTTGGATGAGATCCTGTTTGTTTCTAAATAGACTGTAAAATTCCTATTGCAGACATTAGAAATGAAAGCAGACGGAGAAGTGTTTCACCGTATTTTCATAAACTGCTGGAGAATTTCATTGTACTGATATCTTAAATAATTAAATATTAGAAAATCACTTCCCGTTGCTGAAAGTGTTAGAAGTATTATAGGGATAGCCTGCTTGCATTGTTTTTTTTTGAATCACTGTATCTGCATGTAGATCTGTGCTTGAACTATACCAGCTGCATGTGGGACTATACATGTTATTATCCCAAGAGACAAAAGGACATTACAGACCAGTTCCCATTTCATATCTGAAAGGGTGGTAATTTCAAATGTTGTTTCTTTCACCTGCTGAAGACATTTCTTATACTATATAAAATTCATGTTAATCTGCAAATACATATATTACCACAACTTCTCAAAGCCATTGATGTAGGATGGTATATCAGCAAATATATAAGAAGTCCTATTTCTCTTTGCAGGAAGAATAAAAGAGTGCTATTATTAATGAGATGGTTTTAGAGCTTGA